ATTATACATACAGCTGATACGCAAAATATTATGTTTTAGGTATCAAATATAAATAGTTTTCGTTTCTATAAACATCCCCTACCCTAAATTTTAAGCATGTAAATATTGCTTTACTTCGATTTTTGAGGAATTCATATTTTTCATTATAATATACTGAAACTTTGGATAGTGCATTAAATAATCAAACAATAATTTAATTCAAACTACAGAAAAAAGCAAAACAATTTACATAGTGGTAAGATTTTTGTCATGATTTATAAAATTTATTTTTACTGAAATTCTTGATTTTTTATGTAACAAAAATATGCTGAATTAAATACATTTTTAAAACTTTCAGTAAAGTGAACATTTCAAATTATGCGATGTAATTATAATGTGCTTTACAGGCATTTAGTAAAATTATTGTCTGATTTATTTATTGCTGAATTTTAAAAAAAAAATTTTGCATTGGGTACTTGCACTTCGAGAAGAAGATCACAGATACCCACACATGTGACCTATGACGTCAGCTGCAGCCGATCCTATATGAGCAAAATGGCGTATGAAAGTTAAGCTACATTTCTCGACATAAGTTAGTATGTTAATTAACGTGAAGTTAATTAAATACACTGTCGTATCACGCATCAAATTTGTTGAATCTGTCTTTTACTTTAATTAGATTCATTATTTGTTTATGTATTTTATTGTAACCGTGATATATTTTTGTCCTGTGCGTCTCACAACTTCGGTGCACAGTAGGTTTGCTTTAAATAAATGCCATGTTTCAACAACCAATCAGGATCGAGATAGCCACACTACGTCACTTGCAGGTCGTTGAATTTCGTTGCACTGTTGAATGGAAAACAATTTATCTATTCAAGCATTTTTATTCGGCAAATTATATGATAATGACATTTTTGGTGGAAAAAAATCAGAATTCTGATAATAAAACCAAAATATACGATATTTAAACCATTCAGTTGGTAGTTTTTCTGTTCATATGGTTACAGTTTACCGGAAATTCTGGTTTTCAAAATTATAGTTACGCACGCTTGTTAGTACACATTTATTAAAAAGTGCAAAACAGAAAAAAATTTAACCGAAAAATAGTTTTTAAGCCATGCTCTAAGAAGAAATTGCTTAATTTTACCACATTTACGAAATTTTATCACTTATTATCAAACCATATTTTATTGTTAGTTTACCAGAATCATTACCAAAGCGCTCGCTACGCTAAAAATTACCGAGCTTTCTGCTATTCTCATAGAGCCCCGAAACACGGTAAATTTTACCATATTCTGAAAGTTTTAACTGTATTTTTTTTCTCAATGTAGTATTTGTTTAACAGTATGAGAATAGTTTTGCTGATACATACATTTGGACAAATCACAAATTCTTTTTTCAATGACAGTTTTAAAGTAACTTTGACACATGCATACACTGTTCTTACTGGAACAAAATAAGTTCCTTTTGCAAATATATTAAGTGCTAAAGAATTTAAAATGTGTGTACTTTTTGCAACTTCCAACTTGAAAATAGGCTTAAGTTTTTATTCTAAAGGAGTATAAAACTTAATAGACAGAATAAGATAACTGTTTGGATGCTGTACCTAATCAATCATAAACAATATCATCAATTTAAAAACAAACCTAACTAATATCATCAATTTAAGAACAAAAAAATAAGTTTATTTGTGTAAAATGCTTTAATTTATTAAACTATTGATTTAATCCTATATAAAGTCAAATATACCATGTGTTTATAGCAATCATTTTAATCAGTGAAGTTTTGACCCAGTTTTAGAACAACGAAAACAGAGAGAAATTCTACATCAGATAATTTTAGAATTGAGATGTACCGGTCGATAAACAATCAGAACGAAGCGTACACATCTAACTTGACAACATTACCACTTTAAGCAGAAAATGTTCTTCCCATTGTAAACAGACAATAAAACAGACGACAATTATTCGACGACAGTCTAAAACGCAATTATCACGCGACCATTAGAACACCTCACGCGTTTCTCACCTCTGAACTTGATCACGAAATTGACGGTTATGAGTTTCTCTAATAGGATTCTTATCCAAACACCGGAACCGAATGATTTGCACTAATTATGGATTCTATTTAGAAGGTTGATTAACTTCATATCGTCTGCGTGGAATTCCTTCCGCATAAATTAATTGCGTATTCCTATTGACCTAGACACGACGGTGGAAGAAAAAAAATAGCGTGTTTTGTGAGGTCACTCTACAATTTGGAAGAGATGTTAGTGTGTTTATAGGCTTGCGTAGTCTGTTGACCTAACGTGACCATCACGAGAAGTTCTTGAGTGTTTATGAATCTTTAACACGATAAATTCTTCCTAACGTGAATTATCTTGTTGTTTGTTTATGAAGTGAGGTGATGGTAAATGACTAAACGTGTTTTCGCGTGAAATCTTGCTTTCAGAATTGTTGTTCTCGAGAATTGGAATTTAGGTGGTAGATGCTATTTGCTATTTTTAACCACATAAGGCGGTCAAATGAAAATGGAAAAGACTAATTGAATTCTTTTTCGGAGAAGAATTCATTCCATTAGAAGAATTCCTAGGGAATACGATGACAGGAAAACAACATTTAAGCATATATCTATATCTCGCTTATTATTTATCAAACTATAAAAGACCAGGTGCCATTTGAAGAAATTTAGTTAATGTCAACTGCAGTTACGATTATATGTATAAGATCGTAATTGCAATTGCTGTATCGCTTGACAGAAATCTAATTATTTTTAAAAAAAAAAAATGAAATTTGAACATTTATTTCTATTTATCATATTATCAAGGTTTTGGTGGCGTTTGCGATAAAAGAATTATGTGATTGTTTAAAATACTGGTGTTTATTTTGTAATTATAACTGTAACCAGAGACTATAACTAAAAGTTTCATTTCAAATGCTAAATTCGGAGCTAAAATGAGGGTAAACGGAGTTCTAGTGAGCTTCCCAAAAAAGTGGTGATATTCGAGAAACTAATGGGGAAAGCTTTATTGAAAACCCAAAATTATAGTTATAAGCCTAAAAATTGGATTCGAATAAATTTAACCTAGTACAGGAACAAAAAATTAGAAATTTTTCTTAAAGTCGAAATTTCAGCTGTAGTTCTGTATATTAATTTCACAAAATTTCAGCTGTTTTCCTGTATGTTAATTTGTCTTTCCTTTGTGTCTTATAAAAATTGTAAATAGAAAAGTTAAGTGTAGAAGAGGAAATGGAAGATGTGACTCGCTTTTAACTAATCTTGTTTTGTTACGACGTAATTAAATTTTCAATTTAAATATATGTGATTGCTTATAATATGTCATTTGTTTACATTGTTATGTTTTATTCAGATTATAATCTATCCTTTTTATTACTGAGTTTTTAGAGGAAATATTTCAGATCAAACCGTTTGATTTGATCGTGGTTTGATCCGCTTGATTCTCTGAACTTAAAAAGGCTGTTAAAACCTGAACAAAAATAATTAAAAATCTTTAAAAAAAATTTTAAAGGTAATAATTTTAAAGAAATATTAAATATTTATTTACTGTTGAAAAATAACTTATCTAAACTGAAACTTTTTAAATGAGTTTAGTTTAAATCAGCAAATAATTCTATTATTCGCTTTGTTTATTGTTTTTTAGTTTTCTACTTAATATTTTCCTAACATTAATTTATAATTATTATTTTGTGCTGTGCTTCTAATCGAATGACAGGGATATTTATAAAAATCTTGTTTTGATTGAGTGGATTTAATCTCTTAAAGGCATTTTGTCAAAAATAAATAAATAAATAAAAAAATTAAAATTTAAAAGCAAAACAAAAAGTAAAATCAAACATTAAGTATGCTCACTTTTAGTATATTAATCTAAATAACATAGATAGATAATTCAACTTTTTCTACATATGGTAATAGTACACCTGTGTCATAAATAACACAGGTGAGAAGAACTTGCAAGAAGAAAGAACTTTCAATAGAAAGAACTCGCAATAGAAGAGCTTGCAATAGAAAAAGAAAACTTTTCTGGGGGAATCATATGTGATTCTTCTTTAATTCCACTTGCAATTGGCTGACAGAGGTTGGCCTAACCTTCCATACTTCCTCTATAAATTTGGTTACTGATTAAAAATGTGATAAAAATAGTGTTACTTAAAATGCTATTTAAGTTAACTTTAATAAGAGCTTAATATTTATTTCAAAATGTGAATCAGTCATCTCATTCCGGGGAAACATTTGATTTTTTTGAGATGGTACGATGTAAGTTAAAAGCACATATAGCACATGGAAAGAAATCTATTTTATAGCTGTAAAGTCAAAATTTTTAAATAGACTTTTTATTTTTCCTGCTATGAATTTAATTTCGACTACCTTCGATTTTTCCTGTTTCACTGCATGAATTTTGATTCGTACAGAAGGAAAAATTCTCGTAAATTTACAGTACTGAATGGTAACAACATTTATGGTAGTAAAGAAACATAATTTTGGTTAATTAAAAACAAAAAATACGGTATTTAAATCATTCATTTAATAATTTTTCCTTTAATATGCAACCCCGGTGGCTGAGCGGCAGCGCTTCGCGCTCCCGTGCACAGGTCCTGGGTTCGATCCTCGGGTCTGGCAAGGTTGACTCCTTCTTTCCTCCCTTCAGTGGGTCGATAAATGAGTACCAAGCAAGCTTGGGAACTAAACACTGGGGGTTCCGCGCTCGGCTGACCACCGAGGATATTTTACCACCTCTACTACCGAGGGCATTTTACTTCAGTTCTGTGGTCGGTGCCAGCCAGCTTCAAAATTCGTATCGACCAGCCATCGATGGGATTTGAACCCGGTTCATCTCATTGGAAGGCGAACCCTCTATCCCCTGAGCCGCCACGTCTCTATCATAATCATAAAAATATCGTTTGAATAATTTTTTTCAGTGAAATGAATCTATATCGCATCAATTTTTTGTGCTAAATCTGAATATTTTGTGCTTAATATTTGTTTATTTTTTTGTTTAGATTAGAGACTCAAGTTGAAAAATTGGACGTATCAGATTTCACCAGGGAGATCATCAAGGACGTTCTACGATCGGCAAGTACAGGTCTCTACCACAAAGATTGCAACTCAGTTTACGCTAGGTGCTCACTTAGCAGGACATTGTTCGGATGAAAAAAAAATTCTAATTTGCAATCCTCATCAACTAAATGACATTTGCCCTGTCGTTTCTACGATAGTGAAAGAACAAATATTCTATCCACAGAAATGTTTTTTTATTCTCCCTTCAACTGGCTTGAAATATGCACATGCGCAGAATCGTCGATGTTCGTTCCAAATAGAAAAACATATCAAGCACAGCGGGAACTGCCTTTTGCAGAAAAGAATATTTGTAGATTTTTCTCAAGACGTGTATATTTCTGTCCGGTATCTTATGTAAATGTCTGCACGAATTATTCGCGACAAAACAAGCATTCCACGGCTGCACATTTGCATGATTTACCAAACGCATTTACCAAAAATAAAAAATAAATATTATGAAATTTATGAAGGAACTAAAAGGTTAATTCCTTCTCTTGTTGAGGTCTACATGTATGAAACCAATAAAAAGCAATAACAAAAAGATTCACAATCAGAACAAAATGGAAATTATCCGCCAAGGGAAGAGTATTGCAGGCAATTTGATGTTCCTAGAAATAAAATATTAAAGCATTCTGACCTTGCTAAAGTGGATCTTTTCCTCTAAAATAGTAATATTTCAAGCTATCTGGCATTTTAGGAGCCAACATTATAGCTTCAAAATAAGTATTGCAGGCAATATAATGTCATCAAAAATTTACTTATTCACAACAAATCCACGAAATCTGATACTGCTGCTGCAGTCAACATACCTCCAATAAAAAAAAGATACAATGCAAGAAATTTCAACTTAATGCTTTATAAATATCTTGATTAATCATCAGAACTAATTTCTGACAAAAAACTGTTATTCCGAAATTCAGTATTATAATAAATTTCCACGTTTGCGCTTATAATCAATCAAAATATATTAGGAATTGCGTTATTTTTTCTGAATGAAAACTCGAGGAACGCCTCGTTCCATGGCTTTAATTTGAGGAAACAAATACTTATTCAACTATTATTTGCTGAGCAAATTGATGTTCTATTATGGCTTATGACTGTGAAAATTTCTCTGCTTTAATTCCAATAAATTTGGTAATTTAAATCAAGACATTAAAGTGAGACACTCCATTTCAAATTTTAGCAACCAAATCGGATTTCCAATTCAACATTATTTACGTACTCTAGAGTATTATTTTGACAAAACTTCATGTTTTTCATTTTGTGGTGTATGTGGTTTCATTTGTGAGCGTGTTTATGAAAAGTGTGTGTTTTCCTAAATAAATCCCTAAATTGTATTATGTTTCAAATGTTTATGTAAATAAATTCAATCCACTGAAAATATTATGTCTCGTTATTGTTTACATTGAAAAATATTTTTATTAAAAGAGTCACGTTGATGCTTAATTCTCAACCCAAGTGAAACAGGCCCTTCACCTTTTTCCCATTTTTCATCTTTTTTGTTCTTATGTAACACATGTTTCATATTTTTATTTATTTATTCTACAGTTTTTACTAGCGTTTTGATATCGATTGTACTTGGACTTTTTGAACCAAGTAATATTTTCAGTTTTTAGTAAAAGAAAACGATATACGGTATAAAATATACGATGTATACAAAGGCAATAAACAAAAATAATTCTGTATTATTTTTTTTCTGTATTTTCACACATTTGCGACCAATACAAGAGGTGCTCTAAGTTTTCGCCAGACGCATAGATTCGCGCAATGCATGAACACTGTCTAGAATGATGCACCTTGTCAATTTCGCCGGAAATATCTCAAACGCATCCTGCTGTTGCAACAGACTGGTCATCTCTTAGAGTATTGGTCGTAAATGTGTGACATGTTTGAAAATACAGTCAAAATAAAATTGTGTAGATTGATTTGTTTATTGTCTTTGTATAGCATGTACTACATCCGGCAGCCCATTTTAACAGTTGTTTTAGACTGCTTCTTATATGAAAAATATTGAACATTCCTAACATTTGCAATCTATGATTATGCTAATTAGGATAAAGAAGAGCCGTGGTGGCTCAGAGGATTGAGCCTTCGCCTTCCAATGAGGTGAACTGGGTTCGATTCCCAACGATGGCTGGTCGATACGAATTCCACATCCGGCTTGCACCGACCACAGTACTGACGCGAAATATCCTCAGTGGTAGACGGATCGTGGGTTAGAATCCCGCTGCCGTCAAGCTAACCATGGAAGGTTTTCGTGGTTTTCCTCTCCATGCAACGCAAATGTCATCAAAAAGTTCTCCACAAAGGCAAAACTCTCCCAATGCTTGATTCTGAAGTTCCCTTGTCTTCTGGATTAGGTTCAAAAGTACAAGGCTACGGAGTTGAACATTAGTTGTCGTAAACCCAAAAAATTAGGTCCACTGTTTAACGACAGTTATGAAATAAAATATATATACTGTGGAGCCGCGATGGCTCATGGGACCGGGTTCGGATCCCGGCGATGACTAGTCGATACGAATTCCGCATCCGGCTTGCACCGACCACAGTACTGACGCGAAATGTCCTCAGTGGTAGACGGATCGTGGGTTAGAATCCCCTTGCCGTCAGGTTTACTGTGGGAGGTTCTTGTGGTCTTACTCTCCATGTGAAGTAAATGCGGGTGTGTTCTATCAAAAAGTCCTCCACGAAGGCAAATTTCTCCCAATACTCGATCCAGGAGTTCCCTTGTCTTCTGGATTGGGTTCAAAATTACATGGCTACGGAGTTGAACAGTAGTAGTCGTAAAGCAAAAAATTGGGTCGGCTATTATAAAATTAAATAGGAAATTCGGTCAAAGGAATGAAAAAAAATCGAGTTAAGGAATTAGGAATATTTTTTACATTTCATTTCATTCGATAATTCTTCTTGCAGTGATGCATGGATTGGTGCGTGATGAAGGTGGAAAACTTCACGAAATAAACTTGGCACGGATTACACTTATCAGTAAGTGTATCATATGATCACTGATATATCTTCTACTTAAGCTTGTGACATTCCAGTCGCTTCACTTTTCAAGAAAAAGACTTACGTGAGTTAAGAATACTGTAGAATAAAATTTGCTAAAGACTACAGCTACACACCTGAAAGTAATGAAGTTAAAAATAATATTCAATATTCTAAAAATGGGATAAAATTGCATCGGCTTTTCATAACTTAAAACAATATATTTAGAATTTTCAGAAAAAATTAATTTAAAAAAATGCACATAAGTATTGCAAACTACTATATCAAAGTGAAAAGCATATGTCAAAATCTCACGAATAATTATTGAGATAAATCAGAACTAATGACAAATTAAATCAAGATGAAGCTGAAGTAAAAAGGTGGTTCATTAACGTTTTTATTTTATTTTTAAAGACAACTAAATAAATGTATAATGAATTTAAATAAATTAAGTTATAATTTATGTAAATTAAGCTTTTTAACAAATGAAATACCTCAATCTGCGTGTGTTTTTAATTATTTTTCGCAATTTCTATTAAAAGAGTGATAAGCGTTTTGCGATATTAAAAAAAATTGAATACCACGACTTATAAATACTGCAAACATATTTATAAATCTTGATAATCGTGCTTTTAAGTGCTAATTTAAAAAAAAAAATTTCTACGATAATGCTTTAGCTTTCTTTCCTTAACGATCACTGGAAAAAAAATGTTCCCTAAAAAGAATAAAAAGTTTGAGCTATTTAAATATTATTATTGGCATCACGCAGTTATTCAACAAGATTTTCTAGAAAAATACTATTGAAGAATCTGCAGTGGTTTCAACTCTTAAAAATTGTTTGCTTTTGTACTCAAGTAGGAGACCACACCCTCTGCTTGCTCCTCTAAGCAATAAGTCTCCTCTAAGCTCTAGGCTCCCCTTGATTACCTCTAGTTGTTTTCTTTCTTAAAAGTCGATATTTTTCGAGTAAACAAGGCTCACTACTTTAATAAAATATATATAGTTATTGCAATTTAAGGTCATTACATTGTGTTAATATGTTTCCAGTAACTAAATGAAGGATTACTTGCATTTGAAAAATAATCAACAATACTTGAAAAATTGTTTTGAACTTAGGTATATAGAAAGGATGACGCAATAAAAAGTAATGAATGAAAAATAATTTCACTCTTTCGCCAGTTACAAGCCGGTATAGCCTGGTTGGCAGGGCGCTGGACTCGCGCTCGTGAGAACAAGTCGATCAAGGACTCTCCATGTAGTAAATGGTGGCTGGAGCACGTTAAATATATTGGGTCACAAAGTCCTCCATGTTCCCATAACAAATTATACCTCTGGGGTACTGAATGGGAGATTGATCGTTCTCTGTTTCAGGTCGAAATTGCGATCTATGGATGAATGGATGTATGAATGGGTCCGCTCTATAAACAATTGTGACGAATGAGTGTGGTGGAAGTCGAATTCATGGCCCTAGATGGCGCCACTGGGAAAGAAGAACAATCGCACCCTTTGCCTTATTTACCTAGGCCAACAACAACCATTTATAGCGATAATTTATGTCATTATGACAGTTCAAATAATATATTATATCTGACAACATCTAATCTCTTTAGTTTTTATTTTTACTTCTGATATTTACTCAAGCTCGAGCTTATAAAATAAAGAATTCGAGAGAAAGAGGAATAAAATTTCCAAAAAAAAGGGATGTTATTCAGTTCTTTAGGCTGAATTGACGTTCGAAAAAAGAAATTTTGAAAAAGAGAGAGTGGTAATGAATGGGACAATTTTTGGATTTTTTTATTTCTGTAATTTTTTCGAATTGTCTCATTTTTTTAGCTCAAAATTGTATCATGTTTACTTTAGTTATTTGGTTACATGAAAAAATCAAGAAAATTCGATTAGAAAATGCCTACAGTGAATGATAATAGGGACAAAAAATAGAAATCGGCCCCATTCTACCCATGGGATTGAATAACAAGTGTTGAATAACAAATTTCATTCAAATCCTTTCAGTAGAATCAAAGCTACGAATATCCGAGTATGGTCAATTCAATTTTTACCACTCTATAAATCTCAAACTAATCATTGAATGTAATTTCTTCCCATCAAATTCCCTGAATATTGTGTAATTAATCATGTAATTAATCATGTATTAATCATGTATTAATTTTGTGTAATTAATCATGTAATTTCAGATTTCTAAACCTTATATTTTTTGAGACACAAAACAAAATTTAGCATCATGTTGGATACCCAAAAAATAGTGGCATAGTCACTAGTGATTTTTTTAGAACAGAGCGAAACATCTTTTACTATTGCACTTAAAAATTCTTTTATCTGAAGTGTAGGATTTAGACATTTGCATACCTTATTGCATCCATGCATTAAAGTTGATTTGTTTGACACGTTAATAGCTTCACCCTTTTCGCAAAATACTTCATTATTACATTAGTACAAAAATTAAGCAGCTTTTTTTGCTGTAGTTACAAGGCGGTCGCTTATTTTTCCAATGTTTTTTTTAGAAAATGATTTTTTTAAATTAGCAAGATAGCTTCAGAGTTTGTACTCTTATAACTGTGTCCAGCAGTCAAGTTACTTTTACCGCATTATGAAAAACTACAACATTATAAGATTTGGTTAATTCTTTCTTAGATGTTCATCATACAACGCGTAAAAAAAATCTGAATTATTTAGGAAAAAAATTGATTTGCTCTACGGCAAAAGAAAACATATTTTCTGGGTAACATAAAGCGTGAAATTTCTAAAAAATATAACAGGTTTCAAATTAAGTTATTTTTAAAACTTCTAATACTAATAAAACACATATAATGCTTTGAATACTATACTAACATATAGTATTAGCACAAATGATTGAATTTTAAGAATTTATATGATCAAGAATATTGCACACATTACAGTAAATGGTTATGAAATTAACGAAAATGTACTGAGTTTATTTTTCAGTCGCAAATGCTTAATGGGATACTCTTTTAACGTAAGTTTTCATAATCTAAGACATAATACAAGACATGTCTTATGCATAATATAAGACATAAGATCTTTGAACGTAAGATATCTAATCTCTTGTAACAACACAGATTGTAGTTTCACAGTGATAAGGAATTACATAATCCATAAATACATTTTTAGACCATCCTTGCATTGTTTCTGGAGCGGTGATTCATAAACAGCGTCTTGGGCATTACCCCTAATCATGTGGCCACCAAGTTATCCGGACCTTACGCCTTCCGATTTCTTTTATGAGGTTACATCAGAAACGCTTTTTATGTACCACACCGCTTCCAAAAAATACTGAAAGATACAGTATTTTTCCGATTAATTGTTTTTCATTTAAAAAAGGTCACACATTTATGGCTAAAAAAAGTTGGTGTATATTTA